GAGGAGGGCAAACACACAACCTGGGATAGAGGTGCCATGTGCAAAAGAGACTTTCATGATGAGGAAGGTGATGGTTTACTGAGGTGGGAAAGACTGAAGCAGAAGCACTTCAGAAACATCTCATTTTGGAGGAAAAACGTAAGTCTTTATTGAGGCTACTTGTGGTTTGGGATATCACTGACATTTAAGTGAAGAGATGAAGAAATAGGTGGTTGGAACATGAGACTTAAGAGAATCAAGTATTTCATGGAGGAAGTAGCTCCCTTTCCCTACTGCAATGAGCCTGTCGGATTTATGTTCTAGATGGAGTGCCTAAACCAGTTTTGGCTACTATGACAAAAATGCTACAAACTGACTGGCTTAAACAACAAATATCTATTTCTCACCGTTCTGGAGGGAGGAAGTCCAAGATCACAGTTCTATGAGCTCTGGTGTCTGGTGAGAGCCCTCTTCCTGCTGTATCCTCATATGGCAAACAGAGAGAGTGTGAGCTGTTGTTTCCTTTTCTTATAAGGGCACTGTGCCATTTATGAGGGCGCCACCCTCAAGATCTAACTACTTCCCAAGGATCCCACCTTCTAATACCATTACAACAGGGGTTAGGTCTTCCACATAGGAATTTTTGTGGGGATATAAATATTTAGTTCACAGTAGTGAGGAAAACCACCAGATTCCCTTTGGATTTTGCATTTTATCTTGGTGTTACCTCCCCTGGGAATCTTTCCCTGGCCTTCCAAGATAAACTGTAATTGCTTCAGCCTGAAATTCTGACTGGTTGCCATTATGTCCTAGTACCTGGCATAGTTCCTGAGACATAAATATTCTATTGACCATGCAGAAAAGCATATATTCTCTCCAGTGGTTTCTGTTTGGAGGGATTCATGAACAAACATTGCTTTCTATTGGGGTGGTCACCATCTGGTCAAAAAGCTGAGCAAAAGTGTTCACTCTTCCAGGATAGGTGCTAATCTGAGAGGAGACTCAAAGGACTGAAGAAAAGGGAGTAAAGGATGTTTGGCTCCAGCAAAAAAATTTTCAAAATTTTGAAAGGTCAAGAACCATTCATTCTTGTGCTCTTCAAGCATTAGGCAAAGAGACAAGTAGGATGCCAACCAGTTTGGTTATAGTTAGTTTAGGGGTTGACATGCTTATGGCCCATGGGCTAAAGCCAGTCTGATGTCCATTTTTGTATAATAGCAAACTAATAATGTTTTTTTACATTTTTAAAGGGTTGAAAAATATTAAAAGAGGAATCTTTCTTATATATATTAGTTGCAGATAACTTTATTTATTTTTCTCTGTAGTGCTGAGGATCGAACTCAGTGCCTCACACATGCCAGGCAAGAGCTCTACCACTAAGCCACACCACCAACCCAAGAGGGATCATTTTTAGTGACAAAATTATGTAATATTTCAAATGTCAGTGTCCACAAATAAAGTTTTATTGGAACCCAGCTGTGTCTCTTTATTGACAGTGTCAATAATCGCTTGCATACTACAGCAGCAAAGTTTAGTGGTTGTGACAGAGACTATATGGCCCATGAAACTGAAAATATTTACTATCTAGATCTGCTTTGTTAATTGTCTATAACAGAGTTGATTAATGCCAAACATGTAAATAAGACTTTTAAAAAATGGAGAATGAACAGATAGAAACATACTGGCAAGATGTTCTAAAGAACATCTTATTCATCATTGTGGAGACTTCTACTGGGTGTTCTGAATGGTGAGGGATCACCTTCCCCAGCACCTAGCCTATTCTTGCTGGGAGCCATTAGCCAAGTAGGTATGACAATTTCCTTGCCAGCGTACCCCATGTTGCTGACATGTTGCAGCGACATTGAATGTAGGTGACCTTGCTCAAGGACCAAGGCAGATTAGGGTGTTCCCGGTTTTAAGATAATCCTGTTTAGGGCGTTCCCAGTTTAGGTTCCAGGTTTAAGGTTTAAGATTATTCCTGCTGGGAATAGGGCGTATCCTGCTGCCTGAGTTCCCCTTGAGTTCTCACGGGATTCAGACAGTATATTTTGGAGATAGAAGCCCAGTGGAGGTGAATTTGGGCAGAGAACGTGGATTTGGGCAGAGAACGTGGACTTCCCCAGAACGTGATTGTAGACGGCTGGTGTGAGTTCGGGAATAAAGAGTTGCTGTTTGAATCTACAAGCTGTGTGGTGGCTCGTGATTGTGTGCCCAGCCAGACTGCGGCATTTGTGCCCAGCCAGACAGTGGCATATTCTCATGTTTGTCTGAACACCTCAAAGCCCAGATTCCAGAATGTACTCCCTTGGAAGGGAAATACAGTTGCTCACTTCCCAGTATCAGGTCTGTCTTTGATGGGTATTGATTTGGGAATTGTTCTCTTAAACACAGGAAAGTGGTTTCTTTATTTCTACCCTTTACTTAGTGGTCATTTCTCCTGGAAGGCCATTAGAGGAGTTGAACTTAATAACAAAAGAAAGGTCCATATGGAGTGAAGAACTCCCTCACCCTGCTGAAATGAAGTAAGGAGCTGCCCTGGTCACCAAGAGACAGTAGGTTCCTCTCCATTTGGGGAATTCAAGGTTGCAATCATTCACAGTTTTTGAGAGTACCTAAAAAAAGCTTACTAGTAATTTTTTTAATGCCAAGTTATATATGAGTACACATCTAAAGGGTTAAAAGGAAGAAGTGTTAAAAAAAATTCACACCTTTTAGGTTTACATCAGTTGGTGTTTCATAAAGAAACCGATACAGAAACTGTGGTAAGGGCCGAAAACCACGCAGCTTGGGGCAAGAACAGAGACCCTATGACAACCCCCAGAAAGATTGAACACAGAAAAGGGAGATTCAGATGTGGAAAGGAAGCCGAGGAGCTTGGTGAGCCTGTGTCTCAGAGCTCGGTTTCTCTATGAACGCCTGCAGTGACTTTGATAAGGGGCCACCTGGGTTCAGCTTACTGCCACCGGCAGCCTCACCACTGGGACCAGGTGCTGCTCTTGGACATGATAATGGTTTATGATTTAGGATATAAGAGTTATACCACCCTGCCTTGAAGTTTTAATTGAAGAGATAAATGCTTTCAAAAAATACGAATAGAAAAATCTTTTCATACCTCTCCGATCAAGACCAACATCACAAGATATTTTTTCAGAAAATGAGAGGTAATTAATTATCATTTGTTGGATGAATTCATTTAAAAAATCTTTAAACAGAGAAATGTACTTAGTATAAGAAGAAAAGAAGACTAAGATTATTCCACAAATTATATAGTAGGTATAATATTCTGTTAATAGATCCCCTGTCAGAACTTGAATGCCATTGGAGCACCATCACTAAGTGTCATCAGTTACCAAAAGCCACCAGGGGCTTGAAGAAAACTAGTGCAACATGATCGCAAGTCTATTTTACCTGTACACATATCCACGAGTCTCACAAACAAGCATTTAGGTTTTCTCACATTAATATCATGAAAGAGCCAAGCACAGTGGCTCACGCCCGTCATCCCAGCAGTTCAGGAAGCTGAGACAGGAGGATGGCGAGTTCAAAGCCAGCCTCAGCAAAAGAGAGGCGCTAAGCAACTCAGTGAGACCCTGTCTCCAAATAAAATACAAAGGCTGGGGATGTGGCTTGGTGGTCGAGTGCCCCTGAGTTCAATCCCGGATATCACACCCCACCCCCCAAATCATGAAAGCTCCAGATAATAAGCAATGGACTATATACCAATAATTTTCCTCTGAGCCAAATTTACATAAATTAGGAAAAATTCTATACTGTATCATTAATTGAATGATGCTTTTTCTTTTTCTTTTTTTGGTCACTGGAAATTGAGCCCAGGGGTGTTTTACCACTGATGTACATCCCCAACCCATTTTTTTATTCTGAGACAGGGTGGCATTAAGTTGCTGAGGCTTGGCTTTGAATCCTCCTGCTTCAGCTTCCCAAGTCACTGGGATTACAGGCATGTGCCACTGTGCCAGGTAATTGAGTACTTTCAAAAACTAATATTTAGATGATAATTTCTTGTATCTTCAAAGATTTGTAATATTATTAAATTTTTTTAAGTTGTAGGTGGACACAATACCTTTATTTTATTTTATTTATTTTTATGTGGTGCTGAGGATCAAACCCAATGCTTCACATGTGCTAGGCAAGCACTCTACCACTGAGCCACAACCCCAGCCCCCAAACCTGTAATATTGACATAAAGTTTATGTAGACATTTTTTTCTTCAAAAAGATGTTTGCTTACACTTCAAAAAAATTGCTTCTCCAATAATCACCAAAAAGAAAAGTCTAATAGACCAAAAAATACATTTGCTGTGTTTTTCCCAGCTGTGGGTGGTGTGGTGGTGCTTATTTGAGCACTAAAGATCAAAGGCTTGAAAAAGTGCTGCACTGTATATTTGGAGGAGGAAGAATTGCTAGATATTACATTTTATTTTAGAATATTATGTCTTCTGAGCCTACCTTCTTTCAAGCTTTTAGTATGGCTCATAGGGGTCATTTTAATTTTCAGAGGATCAAAAAGATAAAATGTATCAAGGTTAACTATAAAGGAATGAGGTTAATTACTGGGTACAGCTTTGTGGAATAAAACAAGAGTTACTAAAATAAGAGGAGAAATAGATATAAGTCTAACCCAACATTACCGAGTCACAAACTTGTAGCCTATGGGACCAGTGGCAAAAGGACTTGCTTAATGTTAAAAATTTCCTGGCAGTATAAACATCGCTCTCTCTGGACACTTAAGCTAATGTCAAAATTGACTTTTTTTAAAAAAATATTTTTTAGTTGTTGATAGATCTTTATTTTTATATGCTGAGAATTGAACCCAGTGCCTCACACATATCAGGTAAGTGTGCACCACTGAGCCCCAGCACAGCCCCAAAATTGACCTGTTAGTTAATGCAATCATATTTTCTGATTCAGTACAAGTGCCTCAGAGATTCTACTCCAAGGGAATCATCACGCCTCCTCTTCCCATGTTTTCCTCCTCTCCCTCCTTTTCCCTCGAACACATACCTTCTCCCTCAGGTGTGTGCGCTGTCTGTGATTGGCTCCAATCACTCCAGCTTCCTTTAAAAAGATGTAGCTTGGAGGAAATCTGAAATTCATATTCTGTACGTGGTTTCAGATCCAGCAAGTCATGTCTTCCTCTGGCATTTGTGACATTAACCTTGATCGGACAAAATTTTGCAAATTGAGAAATAATATTTGTATATTATGTCAATACTTGTCTACAATGTGTAATAATCTAATCAGGGTAATAAGCATGTACATCCTTTCAAACATTAATCATTTTTAGGTGTTGGGAATTCAGCAATCTTCTTTTTGAGTCATGTGAAATATATCATAGATTTTTTTTTTTTTTTTAAGCAATAGTCATCCTACTGGGTTAGAGAAGAATCAGAAGAAATCTCTTAGCTATGCTCTGATGCCCTTATTGAACTCCCCTTGCCCCTGGCCCTCCCCAGTGTCTAGTGACAGAGACCACATATTCTTACTCATTTTTGGAAACTAGTAAGTTAATCTTGCTGAAGAACAGAATTTTGCAATGGTGGGACAAACAACAAATAAGTTTTTTTTTTTTTTTTTTGTACCAGGGTGTTATGGTTTAGATATTAGGTGTCCCCCAAAAGCTCATGTGTGAGACAATGAAGGAAGGTTTAGAGGAGAAATGATTATAAGAGCCTTAATCAAATTAACTGAGTGGTAATTGAATGCAGGTAAGGTGTGGTTGGAGGTGGTCCCTGTGGGTGTGGCCTTGGGGTATAAATTTTCTATCTGGAGAATAGTCACTCTCCTTGCTTTCTGATCATCATGTGAGCTGCTTCTCTCTGCCACACTCTTCAGCCATGTTGTTCTGCCTCACCTGGAGCTCTGAGGAATGGATTCTGCTGTCTGTGGCTTGAGACCTGTGAAACTGAGAGCCCCCAAATAAGCTTTTCCTCCTCTACAAATGTGCTGATCAGGTCTTTTACTTGCAGTGGTGAAAAAGCTGACTAAAACACAGGGATTGAGCCCAAGGTGCTTAACCTCTGAACCACATCCCCAGCCCTTTTTGTGTTTTATTTTGAGACAGGGTCTCGCTAAGTAGCTTATAGCCTCACTAAATTGCTGAGTCTGGCTTTGAATTTACAATCCTCCTGCCTCAGTCCCCCGAGTATCTGGGATTACAGGTGTGTGACACTGTACCTGGCAAAATTTTTTAAAGTGATGGTTAATACTAAATTACATAAAGAATTTTAACATAAAAAAAAAGAAGCCAGGCCAGATGACCCTTTTTATAACTGCATTACTGAACATACATGACCTGAATCTTGAATAATAGTTTCCCATTTAAAAAACAAAAATGAAATCTCTGGGAACTAAGAACTCATCTATTCACATTCCCAGGAAGATCCTAAAGTTAGCTAGAAAATGACTAACAATTCAAAACTTTCATTTTCAAAAAGCCCTGTAGAAGTTTCTACACTAGAGATCATTTTTTATTTGGGTAAAATTGGTATGTGATAAAATGTTTTAACACAGACACAGAAGTTGGCTTCAAAAAAATTTTTAATTATTTTACATCTTTTGGGTATCAGCTATATGTGAAACTGATCCACTGTTAGTATTATAAGTCATTATCTTTTGCAAAAATTCTGGAAGAAACCATAATTCTATCCTTTTTATTGCAAAAAATGTAATGCCTAATATTATATCAAATTGTAGGCCTTTTCTTCATACTAGTTAGTTTCACATAAGCCTCTGTGGACATTGCCTAGTTATTCCTCTTTCCAATATGTTTTTTAAAAATGTTAAAAAGTAACATAGATTAGGGAATGAGAGAACAAAGAGAAATAAATTCTTTACTAAAAATAAATTGTAGAAAATTAACATTGGTTTATAAATTCCTTTGGCTTAAAAAAATTCATAACCATGACCCAGATGTTTGTTAATAGAGATGCACATGACTTTCTGATAGATCACAGGTGTGTACTCTCAGGCTAAATATTCTTTTTTTGTTTTTTCCTTTGTGGTACTGGGGATTGAACCCGGGGCCTCTCATATGCTAGGCAAGTATTCTACCACTGAATCATACCTCACCCCCTAAATATTCTTAAACTCCATATTTTGCTGATATGATAAGACAGAGGTTTGTGCAGGGATACTAAGAACACTGTAATGTTTTCTCCCTTCCCCTTGAAGACCATTACCATATTCCAGGACTTGCTGTTACTGGGCCGATATCTGAGACGACTGAGTAGCACCCACCCCTCATCTCTCCATCGAAGGGTACATCTGCTCCCCAAAGCATTTGAACATTTGATTCTGATGTCCCATGGAGGAAGAGGCCTCACTAATAACCAGAACAAACAAAAAAGTGTGATTCAGGCTCCATGATCAGAAATTGCCTTATGTACTGACGCAAACTATAAAAAAATAAAGTTGGTTTCTCCAAATTTAAACTTCATTTTTGGCAAGTAGTGCATGTATCAACTCCACTTAATCCAATGATTAAAGGAAAACCAATGTTCCAAACCTGAAAGATTCTGTGACTAAGAAGACAGACGTAGCTAGTGGAAAGAATTCTAGGAGGAAGAATTCTAGGAGGAAGAATGCTGGTAGAAAAATTTATAGCAATGAGATGGAGGGAGAGAGGAAAGGACAAGGAGAGAGAGGGTAGCTTAGAGATGAATGGTCTTGAAGCCCGGTACAGTGGTGCACGCCTGTACTCCCAGTGACTTGGAAGAGTGAAGCAGGAGAATCTCAAGTCCAAGGTCAGCCTTGGCAAATTAGTTAAGCTCTGTCTTAAAACAAACAAAGAAAAGAGATGAATGATTTGTGTAAAGTGATGGGAAGTGGGATGGGGAGAAGTATGGAGGAAAGTTCATGGTCAATGTCTGTGATCAGACTCCTGGTTAGCAGCATTTATGCAAAGAGGTGCCATGGGAACAGAGAAGAGTGAGGTGGAGACTTCAGACAGGCCAGAAGCCCAGTCCCACCTGGGATCGTTAGAACTTGGGATGCCTGAGAACTGCCTCTGATTGAACTGGGCCAATGATATTTGCTCAGATACATGCTGGGACTGGCTTATGCCAGTAACCACACTGATGAGGGGAGTAGAAGCTAAGTATTCTCAGAGCAAGATGCATTTATATTTTGATAAATCTTATTTGTAGTTTGCTCTCGTCCAGCCGGTCTACTTGTAGCCAATCTGAACAGTGGGAATAGCCATAGAGATAAAAAGAAACCTCTGCATAGAAGGGCCTCCCCAGAGCTTCCTGAATGAGCTCCTGGGACCCTCTTTTCAGTTGATGGCATTACTGGCAATAGGCACTTTCATGGGGTTTGAGGTCAGGGACTCATTTCTCTAGTAAAGACAATAAAAAGATCCCATTTGGCATAGCCATCTCTACATGACCATAGGCATGTGGCCTTACACTTGAATAAAGTAACTTCTATCTTTTACCTATGCTTGGTAAAGGCACTGCTGGCCACTTCCCATCGACCTCTGTCAAAACAGCTATCGGCAAAAGATTTGAGTGATTTAAAAAATAATAATAATTTCCATGTTCCAGTGAATCACACTTATAAAAAGTGAAATAAAACGTACCTATGTCCAGGAATGTGAATGTAGATGGAAATGAAGAAGAACTTCCAAGACTGTTGGTGGCAGTAACTGTGGCCATGAAACTGGATTCAGATAACTCGGGGGATAGCCTGATTCCAAGGTCCAAACAATTACAATTACTGCAGTGCTTCTTCCGTGTTACATTTTTTGGTCCATTTAACCTATAAACAGAATAAAATTGTGTTTAGCAAGATACTTTATGTGTTCTGTTCAAAAGATAAAAAGGTTCAAACATACAAAATTTTAGACAATCTTTTCAGGTCAGTCTTATTGTTAGGGTATACACTATAGGAATATTTATGTTCTATTCCCACATTTCTGTTTTCTCTCTTCATTGGTAGAACTTTTTTTTTCCCTTTCTGGATATTTATGTAGATGAGTGTATGTGTCTACACTGCCAGAATTCCCCAAACCCTAGCTATCATCTTAGCTCCCCCCAAGCAGTTACAACCATCATCCAAAGGATCTGTGGCCACCTCAACATCGACTGCACAAAAGTGACAGCTCCCAGCACAGCAGTGGACAGACCAGATTCCTGGCCCCACTGTCTTTCCTCATCTCCAACTCATTCAGGCACAGTGCAGACCAAATGGGTCTTGGAAAGGAATATGGAACCTACTCCAAAAAATGGAATCTCCCCAGGCTCTCTTCTCTTGTGGACTCTCTCACATCAGCCAATTCTGCTTTAAAAAGAAATTCCTCTAAGATAATGAGAAGCTACCATAAGGAAGTGTCTATTTAGACATCATGGCCCTAAGAGTCTGTGACTCCAAAGGAGAAGAAAGGTATTTTATAGTCAGTCTAACCATATCTGAGCAGGAAGTACACCCCTAACTTGGCCTTGGGTTCCCTAACAAAACCTCTGAGTTAGAATTCAGACCCAAGATGTTAGGTTGCAACAAGATGTTTGCAACAATTTTAATTGATGAATGATAGAATTTTATTCTTAAGCATTTAATTGTCTTGAGGTATCTGTTGCTGCTTCTCCTGGCGATATCATAAAACTGATGATGTTGCTAAATGTCATCTAAGAGAGGACCTACAAAACCACTGCAAGAGCAGTCATGAGCTGGAGATGTAGCTCAGTGGTAGAGCATCACCCCCATGCAGGTGGCAAAAACAAACAAACAAACAGCAACAAAAACCACAATCTCACTCACTGTAAAGTGAACTTAGTATATATGTAAGTCTCTTGTCCTTTCTCCCAGGTACAGGCCACAGTCCCATGTTCTCCCTTCTGTGTACAAGTTAAGTTTTGAGGCCGCTCTGGAGCAACTTAAAAAAAAAAAAGAAAGAAAAGAAAGAGTTTAAGACATCGTATTTGAAATATCAATCACATTGCTATTATTTGCCAACAAGATGATAATATCTCCCCCAAGCCTCACAAATCCAGATAAAGCCAGTTTCTGTCAAGTTCAAATCTATCCCATTTGAATATTACCATCCTCATTTTATAAAAGAAGAAACTAAGACTTAGGTGGACTATCTGGCTCAAGTCAGCAAAATTAGGAAATGGGGGCTGGGGATGTGGCTCAAGCGGTAGTGTGCTTGCCTGGCAAGCATGGGGCGCTGGATTCTATCCTCAGCACCACATAAAGATGTTGTGTCCGCCAAAAACTAAAAAATAAATACTAAAAAGTGTTCTCTCTCTCTCTCTCTCTCTTAAAAAAAAAATTATGAAATGGCAGGATCAGGGCTCCAGCCCAGTGGTGGCGGACATGTCCAAGCCTTTTATCCCAGGTTCCACCATTTTGCCTAACAGGTGAACATCCACTGCCAGCTGTACGTCCCCTGGTGATGATAAGCTAACATTACTAGAGTGGTGCCGATTCAATATTAGAAACCTATGAAAATTAGGACTATCTTTCTCCACTAACATGAAACTGGTTGCAAAGACCTCTACCCACTTGCACTAGTCATGAGCTATGCTACCTGTATCTAATTTCTGCACTACATTGCTTGAAGCACTTTATGTACATTTACAAAGTAATTCTTTATGTACATAAAAGGTTCTCTCTGAGGAACTTCCACGGGCCAGGCACAGTGTTAGCTGCGAAAATACAAAGGTGTACAAGACAAGCATGGTTCCTTCTACTGCAAGGAAGGTATTTTTAAATGAAGTCATTTTCTAGTCAAAGATAGGACTCAAAATTGGAGCTTCTCAGACTCAATGGAGGTAAGAGAAAAAACTTTAGCCCATCATCCCACTCTTCCCTAATTACTGAGACCCACATGTAGATAGATGCTCTTTTGGGTGAGATAAAAGAAGCATACTATGGAAGCCCTAGATAGTGCCTGCCTCTCCAAAAGATGTGATTGATGAAATAAACATCATTTTTGTCTCTAGCACCCAAAGACATGGCACAGTAATGTCCATTGTGTGACCTTGGACAAGTTACCATCTCAGAGCTTCAGTTTTGTTTTAAAGGGGCATATAGCTTTATTTACTAAAATAAAAAAACTCTTTTCCTAAAATAACAGACTTTTTCTTATATATATATATATATATATATATATATATGCATGCAGTGTATATAAAAATTATGCTTGTATATAAAATATAAATATATATATATGTTTATGCTTATGTGTATACCTAGACACATAAATGTAAATATTATGTATACAGATATGTGTATATACTACATAAATATATATTCATGAATATACATGAATATACAGTATGTGTTTATATATACAATGTACACATACATCTATACACATTACTCATGTCTGAGCCATTTGGAATACTATTAACTTTTTGTCTTGGAATTAGTAATTCATTATCTTGTTTTTCTATTTGTTTCCTTATTAATACAACTCTCAGGCCAGTTATCTGAATCACTTCAAATATTCAGATGCATTGGGACTTCTATGCCTTCTTCTTTCTTGACCTAATTACTTGTGTTGGTGGAGTGTATCCTCTGACAGTTTTCTGCAAAAGGGTGTGTGGAAGGAAATAGTTTGAGCATGGTTTAAAATGTCTTCATTCTGCCTTCAGGTAGACTGCTGCTTTGGCCTGATGGAGGATTCTAAGTTGAAAGGAAATTATCACTCAGTACTCTGATGGCAGGGCTTTATTTTCTTCTATGTTCCAGTTTGCTGCTGTTCTCTGTGGCCTTGAGTCATTCTGATACTGCATAGAGCCTATTTTTCCTCTTTGGAAAGTATAGATTCTTCTTTTTGGCTCTATTATGCTGGATTTTCACAAGGATGCACTTACTGGGGATCTATTTTCAAACATCCTTCTTGATTGATTCTCAAAGGGTTCATACATTCTGGGAACTCTTCTCTTTCAGTTTGGGAAACTTTCCTGCACTATTTTTCTGATGATTCCTTCCTCTCTTTCTCTTTCGGAAAGTAAAGTCTATAATTTTCATAAGTTACGTTTTCTTATTTTATATTTTATCTCTTGATCTTTTTGTTCTACTATCTAGGAAGAGACAACCTCAAAGGGTTTCCTTTCTGCTTATCTTTTTTTTTTTTTTAAATTTTAGGGGAGCGTTTTCTGTATATTTCCTTCTTATAGCATCATACCTTTGTTTTGTTCACAATATTTTCTCTTAATTTGCTAGGGGTATTAAGAATAGTTTTTACCACTTCTGACTACATGTTATCTCTTCTTCTTTGTTATGGTTTGTTCCATAAGTTTGTTTTGGTTTCTGTTCTTGTTAGATGTCTTCCTCCGATCCAGGTATTTTTGCCCATATACATGAGTGGGACACTGCAGCTCTATGTTCAGTGGGGGCATTTGATGATTCTGGGTTTCACTCCATCTGGATTTAGGGGAAGAAACCTTGTTGTCAATGTTTTCAGGCATTTTCTCTTGGCCTGGTCAGATTTCCTAGGAAAAAATATTTTAAAATCTGCCTGAAGGAGGGTTCAGGCTTGAAGAAAGCTGTATGCCAATATTCCATTGATTGCTGTGCTTTTCAGGCTGAGTCTTCTCATCCAGCATTCCCCCATCCCTAGCCTCCGGGTTCCAGTGCTGCAAGCAGCACCTATCTGGCTGCATGAAGCTGGGAAGGACTCAGGTACCCAAAGCACTTTTCAAATAGATTTACAGTCAAATCTTCTATTTTTAACCCTACTTTTACTGTCCCTTCCAGAAGTACATGGTGTCAATTTCTGAGTCTTTCCCCCCAAATGGTGTCTGCCTTATATTAGGTTGCAACTTTTCTCCTGGCTACCTATGTAGGCTAACTGTTATCATTGGTCCATCTCCTTTCCAACTTCAAAATTTTAGTTTTGGTGTGTCTCCCCTCCCATCCTTTTTGACCTTGAGGATATGTGCTATTGGAAAACTTAATAGCATCTTGGCTTTATTTCAGGGGAAGAGAAAGCAAATACTTGTGCCCAGTTGCCATTTTTGCCCTTAAAGACCTCGAGTCTTTTGGTGAGCCAGTAAGATAAAGAACGTGGCACTTTACATAATAAATAATCAACTCCTACCCTTCCTATAAAAGAGGAAATTCATCTTAAAGACAATGACTTTCACCCATAGAGTAAGTCAACATTTTCAATGTGAGTTCAGTGGATCATGAAATCAAAATGTCCCTTAGCCCAGGACTGTCTTTCCAGGGGAAACTGGACAAAATTCTCCTTGATATAAATGTATAATAACTGATGCCAAGGAAAAAGCAGCTATCAAAGTCTCTGCACTCTTATGAACTTACAATAGAACTCACAATAGAAGACGCTGTCAGAAGATTAGGGTAATTATTATTTTTTAAAACCCTACATCATATGGGAAATAAAGTTTTAGAAAAACAGCTTTCAGAAATATCAACAGAGAAAGCAAGAACCCAAGGTCTTTTATTTATTATCTTCATTTTCTAAGTTCAATCTTCTGAGGTTAAGCTTGTGCACTGATTGCTTAGTTTCTACATAATTTGAATGATTTCTGGGCAGTAGAGAAGCCAAAGCATGAGAAAGAACTGGGAAGAAAATGCTTAAAGACAGTTTGCCTATTCCTAGTTCTGAAAAACCTGATGATAGACCCCTGATGATATGCAACATACAATGGCCTACCCCTTACCACAAAAAGAAAATAGGCTGCTTACTCCCTCACCAGATAGCATTGAGCTGACTATATTGAGTGAAACCAAAATTCATTGTGTCTTTTCTTGGAATGAGTTGCATACCCAGAGTAAGGTGTCACTTCCAGTCAATCCTTCTTCTCAAAAGTGCTAAACTTGCCCAAAGAGCAGCCATTTGATTGTGTGGTTTACACTTGAGCATTGCACATGCAACATTCGGCAGCACCACCAAACTGAACTGAACCATGAGAGATACTCTTTACCACCTCCCTAGACCTTCTGATGCTGCAAACTGTCACATACATATGTTCCCATATACTGGCTGGAAAAGTAAAACGTGAAAAGGGTTTGCAGCACTCTAATCTATGAGAGCACAGCTATGAAGTGGAATGAAATCGCTAAGTACATCCGAAAGGTACTGTCAAAGCTGTTGTAGGACTACAAAAAAGAAGAAAATGCCAGTACCACTGTAGACACCTGGGAATTGATATTACAGGGCTGAGAACGTCTAATGCAAATATGCAACACTATCTGGTAAGATGGTGAGTTACTTGCGTGACAGATGCTCTGAGGGAAGGGAGGTAAGAAACAATGGTGTTTTCTTTTTCTTTTCTTTTCCTTTCCTTTTTTTTTTTCCCCTCCAGTGTTGGTGATTGAACCCTTGCCTGCTAGACAAGGGCTCTATCACTGAACGAGAACTTAATCCTCCAATGGTGGTTTTTGTTTTGTTTTTTGTTGGTATGGAGGTTTGAATCCAAGGGTGCTTAACCACTGGGCCACATCCCCAGCCCTTTTTAATATTTTATTAGAGACAAGGTCTCACTGAGTTGCTTAAGGCCTTGCTAAGTTGCTGAGGCTGGCTTTGAACTGTCGATCCTCCTGCCTCAGCCTCCCAAGTTGTTGGGATTATAGGCGTGCACTACCACACCTGTTCCAAGAGTGTTTTTTGAGAAAAAATATAATTTTGTCTATGGTCAATGCACAGCTACCCAGCATGATGCATGCATGAAAAAGAAGAGTGCAACTGGATGGAACTGTGACCCTAGTGCAAGTCACTTAAGTGCCATTATGCGCCTGGCATTGGAGTAAGCACTTTGCATATAAGGGTCATACAATCACTGCAACCATCCTACAAAGTAGGCATTATTATCTTTATAACACAGATAGAGGAACTGAGACTCATGGAATTTAAGTTGTGTAGGGGTTCATGGTTCATAGTAGGGCTGGGATTCAAAGCCCACAGATGGACCTTCTATTGCAGGACTGTCAATGGTGAGAACACATGGTCAATACATACATGTTTTGAACAGGTGGTCCTGAACTGGAAGAGAAGTACTGAACTTAGTTTATGCCTCCTCTCCACCAATGATCTGACTGGCTATTTGCTTGGTCATCTGCTCAATGCTTCTGATGGCTCTCCAGGAAATTGCCTGGCAGCAATCATAACCTCATAGGTCACAGAGAAGAGGTTTCCACCTTTACGGGAAACCTCACTGAGCTCTGTATCACTGCCTTTATGACATGGGCCATGTCCCTAAAGCTGGGTCATCCAGCCTGCTACAGCAATTCCTAGTCTCATGCCTCTCACCTGCCACTCCAGAGCTTCCCTGAAATCCCTGAGGCACAAGTGCCATGGAATCATTCAAAGTCCATGCATACTCACTAGCTTTCCCCATTGGACCTGAGTAGCTGCAAACTGCAGCTAAGTGTTTGCTGGCTCACCCTGTGCCTGTAGCTCATGCAGCAGATGCCAGCTGTCACATCTCAGTTCTTTCCTCTCAGCAGCTTCCTGGAGGAAAGCAATGAGAGCCAGAAGTGCAGGGGAGTTGATGTCCTATGAGGTAAACTTAGACCAATTGGAGTCAGTTAATTTCTTCTTTCTTTCCTTTGTCACTGTATTTCCCTATGCACTTTTTGGTGATGTCCCTAAGTGACAACAACCACATGTATTTTCTGTTGAAGCTATGGCCAGCTCAGGAATATCACTACCTTGTGCCCTTATGCACCACTGCACAATGATATTTTGATTAATGATGGGCCACATATATGATAGTGATCCATGAGATTGTATTGCCCAATGATGTTGTTTGTACCCATCTTACTCTAGATGTTGGCTTAATGCTGAAATCAACAAATGACCAATTTCTCAGAATTATCCCCATTGTTAAGTGACACATAAATAGTATTTGCTTTTACTCATTTTCTGGCTCTGTTCCTCATTCTTGCCTACCTGAGACTGTACAACTCCCCTTCCCCTTTGAAGTGTTAGCATGTCGGATTTGCTTCAGGCAATTTTCTAGAGATCCCAGTAAAAGGTTGTAAGTATAATCATGGTTTTCTTTTAACCTCTGATAAGTACAATGACCAGTGTCAGGGGTGAGCATGGATGGAAGGACCACGTTTTAGGTACTAAATGAAGAGGGAAGAGGCGCTACGCCATGTGTCATCCACCTGAGTTGCTAAGGTGAAGCAGATACATCTTTCCTGTATTTTGGAAGTTGCAGCTTTGAGCAAATGTTCATAAGTCAAGAAGGCACAAAGACCCAACTGCAGAAATCCAGTGTCCTACCATTAGAGTCCAGGGACAATAGATAAATAAATGGTCTTAATGGTCAGACACAGAGGAGAGAAAGAGAGGTAGGTAGGAAGGGAAAGTAAGAAAGAAAGAGGAGGAAAAGAGAGAGAAGGAGAATCTTATCAAATAAGACCCCTGAATCTACCGATTTCTAGACTTCTTACATCAAGATGTTTATATTGGCATCAAGATAAAATATTTCATGTGATAGGAGAAGAAAGAAAGGAATGCTCACCACCAACAAGGATCTCTGCCCCACATACTGGAGTCTCATAACTTCTCCCACAGGCAAGTCTGCAGCGAAACAAGGTTGAACCAAGGGAAAGATCTGTGACTTGAATACTGACAGAGCGACCGGGGTAGTGACCAATCTTTTTGTCTATCTTGTAGAGGACCAATGTGTTCAATCTGGAAGAGGGTAAACAATCTTGTTTGGGTTTCAAGGAACATGAAATATTGACAGTTGATCCATGTGAAATTATATCGGAGGGCTTCACAGTAACATCTCCTTTCGTGCACACATCTGCAATAAAATACAAAAGCAATACTTGATTGACAATAACAGGCCCATTTCAAAGTGGAGGGTTGCTGCAATCCCAAAAGCAGGATAAAATTAAACCTAACAGATTACAGGAATATAAATAACCTATATCACTCTAGCAGTATTGGTGATGCACAAGAGAGCAGGAAGCAACCATATTAAAGTCTAACTGTATTTAAATTAAAACATTCATCCTTCTCAAAACAGTAATACTGTAATCAAAACTACAAATAGGAGGATGGTGAGAAAGTAGAATTGGAAGAACATTCAGGAACACAGTTCCAGGAAAACCCAGCATCTTGTGTATGTAAAAATTTCAGACTATTAAAGAAGGCTTCCCAGAATAAATTGCATTTGTTTTCATCACTATTTGTGATTTATAATGCTTACTTCAATACTCATACTGAGAGAGAGAAAAAAGACAGGTTTAAAAGACTATTGCAAACTTTAGGATCATATTTAGGAATAATTCTTCTCTTGCTATATTCGTGGTATTAAATATGTGTGAATCTGCAACATTATTTTATAACAAAGAGAAAACATTCAAAAGCTCTGGTGTGTTGGGAGTTGGCATCAAAGATGGAAAGTGAGTGTTACCATGCCATATTTTGATATTTCTTCAAGATGTAAGACCCTGGAGTGGATGAACTTTTACCTGAAACAGCTAATATAAACTTCATGAATGTATTCCTCTTCTTAACAGAGTTTTCTATACTGTTTACTACATTCCAGATGCCACATTAAATGCTTATTAAAACAGAACCAAAATCATTCAGAATAACTTAAAGCATTACTTCATTTTTCAGCATTTTGCTTTCCTCAAGAGGCTTTTCATTGACAAGGTTCAATTTAAAAATCTCAGAAACAAAGATTCACCCTGAATTTTCAGGGATGATATAAAGCCTCCACTGAAAATTGTCTTTTTTTTTTTTTTTTTAAAGTAATTGTAAGAATGCTTGGATCAACTACCTTAAATAGGAACTGGTAAAGAACTTTTTTTTAAAAAAAATGGTTTTAATTGTAGATGGACACAATAACTTTATTTTGTTTATTTAATTTTTTATGTGGTGCTGGGAATCGAATCCAGTGCCTCATGCATGCTAGGTAAGTGCTCTACCCCTGACCCACAACCCTAGCAAGAACTTATTTAAATCAAGTAAAGAAAATACTGAAAATTCTTTTTATTTTTATTTGCAAAGCTAAAATAGAGTCTCTCTTTTTCTTAAATCTTATTTGTATGTTTGGTCTTGGTTTCTTTGATCTTCTTTGATTCTAATATGCCAGAAAGCTGAAAATAAACTCTTATTACAAAAGCAGAGAAAATGTCAGCCATTTTTTTAGCATAACTAATTTATCCATAAATACCCTCTGTTAAAATATACTGTAAAGTAAATCATAAATTTACGAAGACCAGTTGGGTTTTCTAGCAGGGTTACCTAACTACTTTTTAAAAAGAAAATGATATGATTGGACTCTTACATTCATCATTGGAATAAATCAAATAAAATATATACTGCTTATAAACACAGAATCAGACTTATCCATTTAAATGACAAAATATTGACTATAAAAGACCGTTACCAGTACATTTACAATAAACACACAGGTCATCTGTAACTGAGAATTTAAAACACAAATCTTTCTAAATATAAACTTCTAGACATATCTTACCAATGTGTGCTTTAATCAATAGCCACATGGTCAAAAAAACAAGTTCCAAAGAGCATCCTCTAAGAGTATGTGCCATCAACAGTCGACTCTGCAATTCAATCCTGTGCTTTTCCTTGTAAAAGAAGACAAATTCATTCATGTCAAATACATTCAGAAAATACCAGAACCAAAATAATTCAGAATAACTTAAAGCATCACTTCATTTTTCAGCATTTTGTTAAGATTTTGCTTGCCGGGGCTGACGCTGTAGCTTGGTGACAAAGCACTGGCCTAGCATGTGGGAGGCACTGGGTTCAATCCTTAGCACCACAGAAAAATAAACATATAAGATAAAGGCATGCTGTCCATCTACAACTACAAAAAAAAAAAAAATTAAAAAGGATTTTGCATGCTATTTTAAAAAATGAAGTCTACCTTCAAAATTAGTAAACTGAAAATCTCAACCACTTACCAACCCCATCTTAGGGAAGCTTCTTGGGGTCAGCAGGGGTTGGAGAAGGAGCCTGCCATCTTAGTTGGCTCCACCTTCTATAACAGGAGACCGAAGACTGGCTCCTTTTACACAACAGAGATTTATTGTTCTTGGTTCTGGAGGCTAAAAAGTCCAAGATAGAGGTGCCAGAAGATCCACTGTCTGCTAAGGACACACTTTTCAGTTTAGAGATAGTGCTTTGCAGTTGTGTCCTCACAAGATAGAAGGGGAAAGACTGCTTGCTTGGATCTCTTATAAGAGACCCCAAACATGGGTGTTTAGCCCTGTGACCTAATCACCCCAAAGCTCCACCTCCTAATAACATCACTTTGGGTGTTAGTGTTTTATATGAATACGTGGGGTGCATAAACACTCAGACCATAGTGCTGAACTTTGGAATCCCTTAGAACTGGGTTTAAATACTTTGAGAGAGCATGTGCAAGTTATGTAACCTGAGTCTCAAACAAAACTTGTTTCTTTTCCAAACAGGGTTGCATCGTCATCATCGTTAAATGGAATACTTTGACTAGAGAGAATTTCTAATCTAGTCATGTGATTCAAAACAACAGTAGAATAAAAAAGGCTCATGAACCAGGCATAGTGGCACACACCTGTCATCCCAGCAACTCAGGAGGCAGAGGCAGGAGGATTGCAAGTTTGAGGCCAGCCTCAGCAACTTGGCAAGACCCTATCTCAAAACAAAAAGTAAAAAGGGCCGGGGATGTAGTTCAGTGATAAAGCATCCCTGGGTTCAATTTCTAGTACCCGCCACCACCATCACCAAAAAAAAAAAAAAAAAAAAATGTTCATAACCATCCAGGAACTTAGTAAAAGATTGATTTCTTTGGCAATAAGAAAGGAATTTCAGCAGTCTAAAGGGGGTTGTTTGGGTTTCTATAGAAGCTCAATTTTCCTTGTTCACTTGTTTATTGTGACTTATTTGGCTGATTTTATTTTATCCTTACTTGCTGGGGATTGATCCTAGGACCTTGAACACGATAGGCAAATGCTATGCCACTGATCTACATTCCCAGTCCTTTCTTCCTTTAATTTTATTTGGAGACAGGGTTTGCTAAGTTTTCTAGGTTGGCCTCAAACTTGAGATTCCCCTGCTTCTAACTCCTGAGTCACTGGGATCACGAGTATGCACCACCATGCCTGGAGAGTGTTTTTACTTTGAATGGTTCAGAAAATGTAAGCTGTTGATTTCTGATCTGTTCTCAATTCAAACTTAAGAAGTGACTCTACTCGTCTTAACAAATTCTCTAAATTCTTTTAAAAGTGGGCCTCAAATTTATAATGTAGGCTGGAAATTTCTGTGACATCAGTCCACTGGGAAGTTGCCAACACAAATGCTCACCTCTTATTCCCAGGCCTAGAAAATGTGACAGAATATTTGGGAGAGCCTCAGAAAACAAATCACTGACTCATCCAGATTGATGGCCATCTTTCAGGTACCGGGTACCCAGTATTGATGGCCATCTTTCAGGTACCGGGTACCATGTTAAGCACTAGAGGCACAACATTCCTGCCCTGGTGGGATTCTAGAAAAGTGCCTCTTGAACTCCTCCACCTATCACCTAGTTATCGAGCAGGTAAGACCCTAGCAATGTTGGCATTTCCTCAGCAGTCTCTCTGCCTGCTCTTCTTCCTCCTGATTTTTAGTTGTGGAGAATCTCAGCACCTCAGGATTATACATATATACTATTTTCCCCCTCTCTCTTTCTACTTTCTCCCTAGGGGCGCTCCTCTGGATAGCATCTATGAGCTGAAGATTGTCAGATGTAGATCTAGATCTGCAATCAGACAGCTCCCTGAGCTTTGGTTTCATGTTTGTTTCCTTGTCTTCACCTACTGGATATAAAATAGTCTTCTCAATACTAAATTCAAGTCAAAGTTTTGCCTCCCTTCTTCAAACCAGTTCTTCCCTCAGCTTGTTCTATTTCAGCAAATGTCATCCATGTCTCTAAGTTGCTAAAAACTCAGAAGTCATCTTTGGTTCTACTTTTTTTGTCATCCTCTTCAATTAAACCATCACTGGTTCTATCCACTGAACCTCAAAAATATGTCACAGTTCAATCCACTTCTCTGCATGTTTACTGTCCCCATCCTACTCCAATCTACTTTGACATCTCTCCCCTAGAATACAGGAGCCCTCTAACACATCTCTCCAGTCCATCCTTACCCTTAGGTAGCCAACTACCTTTTAGAAAGGTAAATCTGATCATGTTACCCATTATAACCAACACCATTTAAACACCTCCAATGTGTCCCTATTGCTAATTAGAATAAAATCCAAAGTCTTCACCACAAAGGGTTTCTCAGCCACAGCATGGCCTTCCTGCTCATCATCTTTTTCTTTCTTCTCTCTCTCTCTTTTTTTTTTTTTTTTTTTTGTGGCGCTGGGGATTGAACCCAGGGCCTTGTGCATGTGAAACAAGCACTCTACCAACTGAGCTATATCCCCGGGACTCCACTCCCCACCTTGCTACTATAACCCACTCTGCTTTTTGCCTGGCTCACTCTGCTCCCTTCACACTAGCATTTAGACCCTTCCTTAACTAATGCAAGCTCTTTGCCTCCTGGGGGACCGTGCCCTTCCATGCACCCTGCCAGAATCCTCTTCTTCTGCCAAATTGACTTACATCCTTCAGATTTCAGATAGCATCAGAGCCCCTCCCTGACCACCTATCCCTCCCCTGCCCAGACCCTCCCTGACCAAAGTGGTCTTCCCCATCTATTTGCTACTTATCAACTTTTTAAAATTGATTTCATGGAACAATCTACAGCTACTTTGTTTCTTTAATTACTTGCTTGTCATCTACTGTATTAGAATATCAGCCATGAGGAGAGCAGGAATTTTGAATGTCTTGCTCAGGTTATATACCAGCACTTAACGTGGGAAAATACTAGTACCAATAAATATTTACTGAAAGGAAGAAGGGAGAAAAAGGAAAATGAGCTACAAAAAAAATCTCTGTAAACATCCTTGTGGCAGAATAACAGCTCACCAAAAGGTCCATGCCCTACTCCCCAGAACCTGTGGGTATTTATTTTACCTGTCAAAGGAACTTTGGACATGTGATTAAAGTTCAGGACCTTGAGACGGCCCATTATCTTGGATTACCCAAGTGGATCCACTCTAATCGCACAAGTCCTTAGAAGTATAACAGGAAGGAAGAACTGGGCAGACAGTTATGACGTGAGAACCTCCCCCGCTGGAGGAAGGAAATAGGAACTGAGAGATCCCACAGCCTCCAAAAGCTTTGGATGGATCTCAGTTTACAGACACCATAAAATGTGTTTCTGGTTTAAAATGTTTGAGAATCTCAGATCAAAATCAAAATCTGCTGGTTTCCCCTTTCTGGACTAAAAAGTTCATTGTCATGATGTACAGGGGCCTCTGTGAGCTAATTCCTGACTTCCACATTCACTACCACTCTTTGCCAATACTCTAGTGTCTGGTGACACAGAGATTATAGTGCCCCTGCCCATCTCATGCCTAGTCACGTCTCTGTGACTTTTGGTCATGCTGTTCACCTCACCTTTTCAGCATTCTTAAATGACGAGTTCTAATCATCCAAACTCAATTCACACACCTTTGTTCACTCATTCATTCAACACACAGGTATGGAGCCACGGCTAAGAGTCAGGGGCTCGGGATACAGAACAAGATAGGTGGAAATTGGTACTCATGTAAACAATATTTTGGAGTACAGAGACAAAGAGATCAGTAACACATAAGTTCAGATGGGAAGAGGAGAGAGAACTGGGAAGAAAGAATCTGGTCATAAAAAGTGTTTCTAAAAGTGAAGCTTGAATTAACAGTGGTGCTGGCCGAGTGAGTTTCAGAAGAGGAGAGAGAGAGAGAGAGAGAGAGAGAGAGAGAGAGAGAGAGAGAGAGAGAGAGACGTGAGAGTGTGGAGCCTGGAGGCAGAGGTGAGAATTAGAAATAAGGACCGGCTGGCTGGAGAAAGGAACAGTGGGGATGTTTGACATGAAGTAGAAGGAGCCAGTTCTGCCAGGGCTTGTTTGACGTGAAAGGGAGACTATTCTCTCAAACCTACAGGAAACCACTGGTGTTTAATCAGTGGTTTTACTTCTTTATTTAGTTGAGAGTGCTACAGGATATGGATTATATAGGACACATGCACACGTGACTCTGGATTACAAGTGTGGGGACCAGAGTAGAAGCAGGCAGACCAATTAGAACAACTGCAGAGATGGTAATGGATAGTAATGTTTACCTCAGACATAGCAATGGACATGGGAGGTGGTGTTATGTTAAGTCACAGGGGTTATGGTTTGGATGTGAGGTGTCCCCCAAAAGCTCACACATGTAAGACAACACAAGAAGGTGCAGAGGAGAAATGATTGGGTTGTGAGAGTCTTAACCCAATCAGTGAATTAGTCCCCTGATAGGGATTAACTGATAACTGAAGTGGTGGGGTGTGGCTGGAGGAGTGGGAAGAGGGGGATGTGGCTTTGGGGAATATATTTTGTATCTGGAGAGTCAAGTCTCTCTCTCTCTCTCTCTCTCTCTCTCTCTCTCTCTGCTTTCTGATCACCATGTGAGCTGCTTCCCTTTGCCACACTCTTCCCCC